TGGGGGAAAACAGTTTGTTTGTGACTCCTCAGACTGATGAAGCCCTTCGGATGGAGAGCGAAACATCTCAACAACAAAAAAGAAACTGTAGGCAGTTTAGTTTTTAACATTAAAAAAAATAAATAATATCTCAAATTTCATTTTATTTACGCTGTAATGCATTCTGAGTAAATGACGTAGACGGGTTGCTCCGGGGAAAGCTTCATTTAGCTTGAATGTTAAATTTGGACTAATTAAGAGCTAATTTAATGACGTTAGCTCTGGAACCAGTATATATGACGTTGTGCTGGTAAAATAATCCTAACGTCCTTTTGGTGAAAAATGTAATAACGATGCATTTTTTAAGTTATTCCAAGTTTTCGTGTGTCACAAACAACAACTTTAAGTGGAAAAGAGAAATGATGTTAAGGCCGCTGTGTGCACGTAGTCAGAGACCCCTTTAAAGGACACGTGCAGTTGTCCTACCTGTGTGTCTGCATTGAGGACTTTGATCCTCTGAGTGGACATGAACAGGTCCACCTCAGCTGTGGATGGAGCCTCGCCGTCAGGGCTCTGCAGAAACAGAATGAGAACAGTTGAAATCTGCTGATACTTTGAGTCTAATTCAGGGCAATGATAGGAGGAAAGATGTTTAACACAAAAAACTACCTTTTTCCTGTTCTTCGCCTGCTTCAGGGCAGCCTGCAGGGATGAAAGCAGAAGACATTCACAAAAAAAAAGATAAAAATAGAAGCAGCAGTTTGAGAAACTGCTTTTAGCTCAACCCAGTCTACTCATTCAAGGCCGACTCGGCTCCAAATAAAGGGAGGACAGAACCTTAAAGGATTATCTCTGTGCCGTCGTGGCGCTGCCCATCACGTCTGACCGCAGCAGGACGCTGGAGGCCTCTGCACCAAACATGATCAGAACTCTCCTTGGCATCGATGTGACACAAAGCAGCCCGAAGACCAAAGAACCACCTCGTGTGTTTGACGGCTCGGCGTGTCTGAATGTTGGTCAGAGTTACCTCTGAATTCAGTGCGTTCATCTAATCCAAACCTCTCCTCTTACCTTCAGCAGAACAGATGGGATTAAACGAGCTCTTTATGAGTTCACATCACGGTTGACCAATTAAAATCCTGCCCCTACGATGAACTGGGTGCAGCTGACGAGTTCCTTCATGGATCTCTGGTGTTTAGACGGTTACAACATCTGAGGATGCTCATAAGAGGTACTAGACAAATAAATCCCACGATTTATCGATAATTTTCTGTAACTCAGCAGATCTCGTTTGCAGAATTCTCAGACGTTTCAGCGTTTGTTAAAACTGGATGTTCATGAGCTCTGCTGCTGCTCCGTGAACTCCTTCGAACATCGTCGTCTTCAAAACAAAACAAACAGGTCTCAGTCCTTTTAAAATTCACTTGAACTTTCCTGCAAGTTTTCTGTCGTTCTTTATTTACTGTCATTCATATTTGAGTGCGTTTGTTTTTATTTAATGTGAATCAAACTGAACTTTGAAAAATAACAAACCTTTAAAAAGATCTTTTTCTAAAACATCAGTTAGGATGTAAAGTGCTAACGTGAAAGACACTATGGAGATGCTTGTAAATACTTTTCAGATGGTTTTAGCTTTTAGCTACTGTTTTAATCATTTTAGCTTTCAATTGTTGTTTTAGCTACCAATTTGCTGTTGTTTTAGCTTTTAGCTACTGTTTATTTTTTTTACTTTGTTACAGTTTTGATCATTTTAGCTCCTAGCTTCTGATTTGCTAGTTTTAGCTTTTGTTTGGCTTGTTTTAATGGTACCAGTTCATCTTCTTTTCAGCTCAGTTTTCACTCGACATTTTCTAATAATCTGCAGTTTGTTTGTTTTTTGTTGTAGTTTTATTTTAGATTCAACATCATGACCTCGGTTACGTTTCTTCACGTGAACCGTGTAAAACGAACAAAAAGCAGAAATCGGTTCTGATCCAGTCACGTCGTCTCTGTGCTCCATCTGATCCTCAAATTGAAGCTAAAAGCCTCTCCCCTCCTGCGTGATGAGCGTTTGACACCATAGACTCTGACTGGAGCACAAAGCTCTGGTTCTGGTCCCTGAGGCCCCTCGGTCCTGTACACCAGTCCATATAGGAGGAGCACGGGGCCTGTATTACTGTAGATGAGAAGCAGTGATCCGTAGATGATTTACTGCTCACAAACCCGTCGGCTGTGTCTCCCGCTGAGGCCTTCAAAGAGCTAGATGAAGTGAACCTCGGTCTTTTCACGACTGTCTAAAAGCAGAGCTGTAGCTTAAAGATCACGTTTTAATGTCCTTAAAAAACGTGATAATATTCGTAACCCTAAAGCCAAAACAACATCTGTGGCTGCAGCTGCATTTATTAATGCAAAGCATTTTTGTTTTCTCTGAGCTGCGTCGTGTGATCTTATTTCTGTGGCTGCAAGTTTAAGGTCCTTTCTGACCAGAAATGGTCTCAAGCTCCCCACTGAGTCTGCCTTGGCTTTTTATTTTAATTCATGGGGTCAGTTCGGCCTTACTTGGCTCAGCTCGGCTCAGGCTGAAGGGCCTTTTTATGGGGTGGTCCCACATGCTTCCAGCTCGATTCTTAGGACCAACTTAGCTGATATTTTAAGCAGATGAGCTAAATGATTTGACATCAGTAGGACATAGATTGGCCAGAGAGTGACATCGGTCATGAACTTCTCCTTCACTAGATTCAAATCCTCCATTTTAAAACCTAATAACCGCAGCATTTGTTTCTTATTTACCAGTTTAAAAAAACATATCCATTAAAATGTCAACATATAAACCAACACTGTGCTACTTGGTGGAAGACAGCGTTAGACCAATTTGACTTGATTTATTGGCTACGAGTGGCGGAGAGAAGGTGGTCTCGACTCGGCAATGACTTTGTGGCAGAGGATGGTGAGTACATGCACTTTGTGACTTTGTTTCACGTATTTCTCATTGGTGGCAAGTTTCAGGCAAACTACAAAGGTATATGGAAAATTACCAAGACCATGAAGAACCATGTCTGGTTGAATTAGGGCAAAAAGAGTCGTGCTGAGACTGGACGATGGAAAAACGACTAAAGAGCCTCTGCGACTCAAGAAAGGAAACTGAAGTTTGTATCTTACGAGGTGCGTCTGTTGGCAAATGGTGTTTGTGGGAAAAGTCTCCAAGATGCTTTGATCTGTTCAACTCAGAGGGTCGTAGTCCCGACAGTTTTCACTCAAAATAACCAGTTGCACGTGTAAATTCAAAAGCACTAAAGTCTGTATTTTGACCCCTGCAGGGGAACTTTTCTTATGATAGAAAATATCAAGGCTACAGATGAAAATCCAGATCTGAAAACTAGACCCATGTGAGTTTTTCCACAGCCGATCTTTAAACATGCATGTGCATCGATTATTTTGGTCGGCATATATTTTTCCTTTGGCCGTTGCGGTGTTGTGATTCGCTTGGATAGAAGTTTCGTGCAGTCACGCCATGACAATACTGCCCACATTGAGGTGGCACTCAAGTTATATAGAAAACCACCCTGACCATGTAGACCCGAGTCAAAGTGAGTCCTGGTGAAACTGTACAATGGAAAATCCACATTATTCCGCAGCTGACTGCTTGGACGTTCAGTGTACAAAGGGCAGGGTTTCCAGAGAGTCTTGGTGAGCAGAAAGCTCCCTCTTCATACGAGGCGCCTTTAGCTGCTAATGTTGCATCTGTAACTTCTTACAGCAACCCGTCTATTGAGAAGTGCATGAGATTGTGTGATCCTTGGCACGCGCAGTACAGCATAAATGAATAAGTTTCAGATCACAGCTGCTTGGTCTGAAAGCCTCTTTATGCTGCAGTATCAGAGGCATCGTGGAGTTGAATGCAAGCATTAAATTACTTTATACAAGTTTTTGTGGAAAAAAAATGAAATGGCTGCAATGAAGTTTGTTTCTTGTAATTTGTTCTCACCCGGACTCTGCTCATGGCCTCCTGGGCCTGCTGCATGCGAGCGCTCTTCGTGGGCGTCCTCTCTGAAAGCAGGTGTGTGCAGCCCAGGTAGGTCGCAGCAAATATGATGCCATCAATCAGGTCATCGGGGTCACAAGGGCCTGGGACTACAAGAACGCAGACGTTAGACGTCAGCAAACGCACACGTTGGAGTGACGATAACGTCAAGTGGTTTGTAACAAGTAATGTGTTTAGAAAACAACCATGGAGCCAGGCAAAGGAAGTGACAACCACAAACAAACTCTACAAGTAAGTGTTTGTCAAATGTTTCTTGATCGTTTTGGCTTTAATGAACAGAGGTGGAGCTGATGATGAGAGTAGGATTCGACTCACCGTCCACAAATGTGGGAAAAGGAGGAAGAGCTCGACGTATCTGAGACATTAGAAAGAAGAAAACACCTCAAAGCTGTTCAAACTTCATCAGCAGAACTCAAATCAAGAAGGTGAACGTCAGGAAATCTTTATTGAACCCCAATCGTTTATTTTATTGTGAAGTTTTACCTTAACCATAAAATGATTTACATTAGAAAAAAATTTGACCTGCGATATCAACCAAGTGACTATGAAACCCCAGCTGATGTTAAATTGAGCTGATATGGACCCACCTCCTGGGCAGATGGTGTCTGAGAGGGTGATGGCGGCTGAGCTTGAGCAGCAGGCTGTTGACTCTGCTGCTGTTGCTGACGTTGACACAGTTGCTGCTGATTACTAGGTGCGTATGTCTGTGGTGCCCTCGACTGGTGGTCTTGGTGGTGGTGATGGTTGTGTTGGGTCTGCTGCGGGTTAAGGCTTCTGGATGACTCCGCCCTCATAGGACTGACATTGTCCCGGATTGGAAGGGAGACGTAGCGGGACGGAGAGTCCAAAGCCGACTGAGAAGGGGAGTGAGGGGAAGTCTGAGAAATGGAAGTCAAAGACAGTACGATCAAATGAAAATAAACTATGAGTACGTTAAAACCTAGACTAGAGCCAACTCTGAATTTTTTGTATTTTGTGTCAAAGAAGCCATATTTTTCTGTGACCCTTTCTTGGAGAGCAATATATATTACGGCCCAGGCTGCACCAGGTAACAAGTCTTTTCATAATACAACCTGGCCCTTGTTGGACCGCTTAAGTAACTAGTAAGTACCAGGTGTCTATCAGGTACCCACCATTTGGATATTCAGTGTACCATGTACATAACCGGTATCTACCAGGCACATAGCCTATAGGTAACAGGTATCTACTAGGTACATATGTTGTAGATCAAGATCCCCAACCCTGATCCTTGTGGCCCACTGTCCTGCATGGTTTGGATATTTCAGTCATTGACTGGCTTGTGCTTTATGGCGTTCTGAGTAGGTAATTCAGTTGTTTGAATCAGGTGTGTTGAAGAAGGGAAACAGCTAAAACATGCAGGACAGTGGGCCATGAGGACCAGGGTAGGGGGACCTCTGTGGAAGATAACCGGTATTAACCTGTTATATACACTGTACTGGTAAGTACCAGGTACGTATTCAGAATGTACTACGCTGAAATATGTTTTGCTATCTTTAAATGTATTCCAGGCTTTTTAAAGATCCTTGAAATTGTTTCTTTAGAGATTGACAGCTGTTTTACCCAGTCTAAGTGAAAGTATCAATTGCCCAAAGAAAATTTTCAAAGACCTTCAGAACATTTTGAACAACTACTACTGAAAATTACTTTAAAAGACAAGAAAGTTGGATTGTTTTGATAGAAAAATATGAACTAGTCGGTAGAGGGAATTAATGGGCCAGCCTAATAAGTTTGTTTGAATCTCATATTCTTGTTTTTGGTCGACATCAATATAAAAAAAACTTAAAACTACAAACATGGCAACACTGGCAGTAAAACTGGTTAAAATAAAAATTAATTTTTTGTGATATTAGTGATGACATACAGTTGACACCAGATGACATACAGTTGAAATTTGCAGTGGGTATACCTCCTCTGTGGGACTGATCTCCTGTCTCATCACCCAGATTGGCTCCACAGGCTGGTCTGGTGTGTAAGGGGAGCGCACAGCTTTAGTCTTCACACCCTCAATCGCCTCCTTTATGTCCTTAATCGCCAGGCTGATGGCATCTCCCGAGCCCTTTGCAGCTTCCCCTGATAGACCTGACATATTCTGATCATTTTTGGCTTCACCTGAACTAGGCTGCCCAGGGGATGAGGCCTTGGCTTGAGTTTGTGGTTGCCTGGTTGCCACCCTACCACTTTTGGAAAGAGGGCTTTTATCGGCGCTCTCTCCCTCGCTGTCAGACTGCCCGTCATAATGGTGCAGTCGGCAGCCAACAGAGCGATCTAGCGAAAAGGGACGGGATCCATGGTTTCTATTCTGTCTTGGAGCGTGGTGATATCCCTCAGTGGGGGAGGATGAAGACCCTTTTTGAACATTCTTCAGTCTGTGACTGACATAGGGCTCTTGCTGTGACTCTTGCCTGTTGGCCTCAGTCTTTCGACCAGGTTGCAGGCATGGTTCCCTGGGTGAATCAGGGTAGGAGGTCTTAAGCGGCGCAGGGAAAGAGTTGGGATGGAATTTTGGGTCAGAATATGATTCAAAGACAGGCTCTTCGTAAGGTTTTTGGTGGGACTCCGTGTAAAAGTCTGCATAGGTTTTTGGATGAGATTCAGAGCAAGAAGTCGAGTGAGATAGTGAACACGATTCAGAGTAATCGTCTTCCTCCTCTTCGGGTAAAGGATTGTTGTCAGGTAAAGAGCTCATACTGATGTCCTCACTAAAGTGGTCCACCTGGGGGAACGGTGGGACATCAGGAGAGGAAGGAGGAGTTGGTGACTGGAGAGGTGGGGGGCTGTGGAGAGGTCCATCCATACTGAGTGAGGCGGCGCTCTCTGTGTCAGAACAGAGATCTGTAATTTCACTTCCCTGAGCTGCAGGGTCTTCCTCTGCTTTGACAATCGCATCCTCCCGATCCTCCTCCACCTTTTCAGCTTGTTCTTCTACTTTTTCATCATGGCTGCAGATTGAGTAACCTTCAGTTACATAATTTGTCGCCTGCTCTTGAACTTCCTTTGATTCTTCTTCACACACTGCTTTTTGCTCATGGAAGTCCTCTTCTGCATCAGCAGAAGCCTGTTGGGGTTCGAGCTGCACATTTTGTATGGCAGGACCAGCAGAGAGGTGAGTTGGAGTAACAACAGCAACAGGGGTTAGATGAGGAGAACCTTTGTCCTGTAATTGGTTCACTATTAGACCAACTGTAGAGCATTCCTGTGGCTTTGCCTCTGCTGAACTTTCTGTCTCGTCGACACCATGTGGAGAATCCTGTACGTCTCTGAACTGCTGACGCTGTCTGTTACCTCTGAGTCTTGGGTTGGGGTCACCATGACGCCGATAGCGAGTAACAGCAGGGCGGAGTTGCTGCAAAGTACGAGGTTCAGTGTCCTGATCGTCTCCTCCATCTGACCTGGAAGAAACTACAGGCAGAGCCAGACCAGGACTCTGAACCTGACCTTGGCTTTGCCCTTGGCCTGATGGAGGTCGTCGTCGGTGACGATGGGGTCCACGGCCAGCAGGGTGGTGTTGGTGAGGAGGGTATTGTTGATGGCGATGTTGATGATGATGATGAGGATTTACTTCCCCTTCTTGATTGAGCATCTGACATGGCCTCCAGGACCGACGTACGGAAGGTTCTCCAGGGGTTCCATTGGGCTGCCGGCTCCTTGGGGACACCGAGGCAGCCATGTGCTCCTCACCTGCCTCCCCAGAGTCATCTTCATGATACTTTTGGCTCATTGTTGGGTTGTGATTAGACTCAAGTTTTCAGAAACCCCACTCATGGATTAGCCTGGGAGATAAAGAGACAGAAATAAATGGGAAATGTTACTCAGACTGTCAAAAATTAACGGTAAATTGTGAACGCTGGGTGTTTATTTTACATTTAATCAAGAGTTTGTAAGTGGCACTCTTTAACTTACCCAATGAGTCAATATTTTATGAGTTCAAATCTTGTACAAATGAGTTTAATGAAGGAGCAGCTGTTTATACATTCGTTTAACTCAAGTGTTTCACAACTCTTGGCCTCAGGAAACATTTATCTGCTTCTTTTAGATAAGTCCCTGCTCCAGCACAATCAATTTAAAGAAATTAACAAGTGGAACAATGTCCCCCCATCGCTGAGGGATTTGAAAAGTGAATGTTTGTAGTTTTTGAGATGAGTGTTTTTTCTGGACTGGAATTGAACGGAATACAAGTTAACGTTAATGGTTTTGGTGCAAGATATTCAAGTGGGGAGGAGTTGCACTGTAGAAGAATAGATGTTTTTTTTTCTTGTTGAGTGGAAGAAGCAATTTTATCCACGACCAGGCGCAATGGTGAATCCAGGGGATGGACAATAGATTAATCTTTGGCCACACAAAGGGCCACCCCAATCATTTGAGGAAACTGTACTTTTAAGCAATATAAAAACTAGAAAGCATAGTTTACGCAAATGATAGTAAACACACATATATGGCAGTGGTCATTGTGGATTTTGACATGGCAGCCCAATTTTCAAAAATAAACTTCCTTATGCCTATATGTAGCCATACACCAAAATGGAAGTTGGTATCTTATTTTTTAAGTTAACCATTTCACAACATGAACAGATGGACATGTGCCTCAAAGATACTCAACAAGTGAGCATTTAATTTACGCAAAACTGCCGAGGTCAGTAAGCAGAGGACTTTTTAAAAGAATGCATCAAATCCTATTTCACTCATTTCAACACAACTTTACGTTACTTGAAGTTACTTTATGCGTCTTTGTCTTTTTTCATAGATGTGACAGCGGCTGAAATCCTCCAAAAAGTAATAAATAGCAGAAGTGTGAAGCTTGGCGGTCTGAAGCTCATTTTTTAGAGCAGAACGTGGTTTTACAATGTCTTGGTGAGAAATCCTTGACATTCCTGGAAAAGACGTGGTCCTTGAAGGCAGCAGATTCCGCTGTAAAACCCCAGAACGGGGATCTAAGCCCAGACCATCACAGAACCAGGTTTTTGGACGCTCTGCTGTCAACAGTCTGGATGCTTCCTTTCCTCTGTTGACAGAGGAATTGACACCGTGTGCTTCAGACCAAAGACCTTAAATTCTAACATTTAAAAAGTGTTTCGTTAGACGCTGAACGACTATAGACCTCTTGAGTGCAGAATAAGTCTTGAACAATCCCAAACACTTTCCAAAACATTACGTAGAACTAGAGGCGTGCAAAATGTTTGGTTAACATCAATCCAGCTGCATATGTGCAAAAAAAAAGATAAATTTACTACAATATCTTTAAAAAATGTATGTATTAAATGATAAGCATCACATTGGGCTCACCCTGTCACTAAATACCAAATGCTTAAATCCCATGAGAAGCTGTGCATTTTAATCTGCACTGTTTTCATCTAACCAGCAGCTGGCAGATGGCACAAGATGGAGGAGAAAAGAATGAAGAGGAGGAGGCCAAGGAGGGACCTTTATCTGGTACCTGATAAGCCCTGACAGAGAGGAGCCGATGGAGCAGACTCTGAATACTAAATACGTTCTGTGGATGAGAAGCCTTGTTTTGGTACTTATTTAACGTGACAGGGTCTCTCTCCATTAAGGTACTCCCATGGGTCCAGATTCACGTCAAACAGTTGACAGAATTTTCTGTAACTCGACATATTAAACTAGTTCTAGGAAAGGCTGCCAACCAAAGATGTGTACAGTCTCAGATAGAGGGAAAAACGTATTTTAGCTGAAGGTCTACATGGAAAAAGCGTCTTTGGTGCTCAATGTATTTTGTAGACCTTTATTCTTTATCTAGCCTTCATGGACCTGTAAATCCACAAATTTAAAGCAGTTTACATGAAATGTATTTAAAAATATAGGTTTTGATTTTTCGACTAATTTAAAATCTCGTCGTTGTTCACCATCTACAACTGTAGCCTTCTACAATTCATTGTGGTTCAAGCAAACACCACCTTGTAGACTCTGACACGCCATCACGTTTGCTCTAAGAGGCTGATTGTTACGTTCATGTTGCGTTTAGGTGACGTTTCCTGCTTCTGCTTCGTCAGATTCACTGGTATTTGAGAGCTCAGTTGTTACGTCTTCAGCGTTGCTAGAGCTCATTGTGCCACAAATTGATTTGGTTTGGTGGCGTTACCTGTGTTTACAGGGAGAGAGGAGGAGAGAGCAACTTTTGTCCAGGATGACCAAGAAAACTAACCAACGAAGGCAACGAGTAGTCACTGAACAGAGGGTTGATGGATGCTGCAACTGGACAGACCAGGCATTTTGCTTTAACCGACAGATGTGATAAACAGGAATGAGCCTGAAGAACAAGCCTAAACACAACTATTAATATCCATCCATTATTTTTACCTGCTTCTTCCTTTTCAGATCGTGGGGGTCAGTGGTGCCCATGTCCAGCAATCACTGTGCGAAGGCGGAGTACACCCTGGACAGGTCGCAAGTCCATCACAGGGCTATTACGGTAATATCTTTAAGCAAATCTGTACTCAGAGTTGTTTATAAAAAGCAAACTTTGCAACTGTGTGTTACAATATATCTCAAAAACCACCGGACGGACTTTAACGAAACACCCAGGAAGTAACCAATGGATAAGTACAAGTGAACAAACTTGGATCAAAATGGTCGACAACTGATTTTAGAAACCACAAAAATAATTAAAGCTCTGACGGCTCTACAGACATTTAGACAAAACTCTGTGTGATAGTAGCTGAGAGTCGACACATCAAAGTGCTATGCATTGCAGGACGTCTGAAAGGTGGTGGAAGAAGATGCATAGCTTTTCAAGACAGATTTTGTTTTTCTTCTACGTGATTTAAAAGACAGAATTTTATCGGTTACAGCAAACAGACACTGGACACACCATGAGCCTTTTGACGCAGGTTCTGGACGGTGCTTTTAGCTTTAGCTCCTCTTTGTTTGCTGGGGTTTATACGTCCTTACGCACGGAGGTTGGGCGTTAGATGAGAAGGCTGGCCTGGGTCACAGATGGCCCCAACAGAGAGGCGGTTATCCGAACCGGGCCTGCAGATCTGAGGGCCGAGCTCGGCACCTCCATCTGTCGGGCTGCGGTGAAAGCTGCTCCACGAGGGATTGGTTGGCTCGATGATTTGCTGATTTTTAAACTGACAAACGTCATTAAAAAAACAACTTTGTGCCTTAAGGACGTTTAACGAGCTTAACTTGAAACCTTAAATAGCAGTAGAAACTTAAATGTAACCCTGCTTTCAGGTAAATCTTAGAAACGTATCCATGCCTTGAAGCCTACTGAAGACTTTGAGTTTAATAACAAAGTTAAGTCAGGTCATCTGGACGGATTCTTCTTGGTTGAAACGCTTCGTCTTCCATCTGAAAGACTTCATCAGTCTGAGGACTGCCACAAACACAGTCCCATAAATAACACCCTTTCAAAATGGATCAAACCAGTCTGCTGGGGACTTCCAGAAACCAGCTTTTCACATGTAAAAGGACCAACAGTCTAACAATCGATTGTTAGTGCTCTGATGGCCACTTGCTGCTCAAAGAACCAGCCCGAGGACAAACCTGGTCAACGCATGCATCAGGACATATTTGAGTTTAACTTGCACATCCTGTTGCAGCATTTCCAGAATATGAGAGAAGGTGATGGACGGTGTCAAATGGTGATTTAATCACGTATGAAAGCTGCGTCAAAGAAAGGACGAGTCTTGATGAGAAAAGATGGACAGAAGGTCTCCAGTTTGTCCACAAACATCAGAGACAATAATTATGTTCTCCACTAAATGTACAGAAAAACAATGAAGAACTTCATCGGTGCCTCAAATGAAAAGCAAAAAGTTTAAAATGGGCCGCTGTGATCTTTCAGAACCAGACCAAGAACCACCATTCCTGACCAGCTGATGGACCCATGTGGACCAGGGAGTGACTTCGGGAAACAGTCGTGGAGCTCCACGGTCCAGAGTTCAGAAACCAAACAAATGAGATGCCAAGAGCTCTGGACCAAGAGGGGACTGAAACCAGTTCAAAAGCCTGGTTCTGTGATGGTCTAGGCTGGGATCAGGGTTCTGATGGCAGCAATAGTTAAGAGAAGTTCAGCAGAGGTTTTACAGCAACATCCGCTGCCTTCAAGGACCGCGTCTTTTCCAGGGACGTCTGAGCATTTTACACTGTGACGACGAAGAAAAAAACAGACTCTGCTCACAGTTCAAAGAAATGGGGACGGTTCTGGACCGGCCCGCCTGCAGTCCTGAGCTGTCTCCACCAAAGAAACTAAAAATGTAACGAGGACAATGTTCTACGGCTGGATGCCAAAAGACGTGTTCGCAGGAAGAACGGGACAAAAGTCTCTTAGTCGGTCGGCGTCAGAACGTCTCTTAAGGCCGTAAAGAAGAACAGCAAGAACCGAACGGTTCTTTGTTGGTCCAACTTCATTTTGGACAGTAAATGACCTCAAAGTATTATAATTATTAATAATATTGTCTCGTAAGGAATTTCCTTGTTGCTTTGGGAACTAATCAACAGTCAAAAGACCAAAAGACTCAGATTTCAAAATGCACTTTTCGTGTCTTTTGTCATCGTTTTACTTGGTTTTTAGAGAAAGTGCTCAAAAACTGACAGTCTTCTCCACCAAGTCCAAATGATTCTGGGTCTGAAGACCAATATCTAGTTAGCAGATGACCTGGAAAATGAGAAATGTGATGCTAAACATCAGCGGTTCACTAACGTTTCAGTGTGGGGGCCACTGAACATCCGGGGGCTGCACCAAAACCAAAATTCATAAAAGAATTTCATAAAGTCCTTGATGCTGTTGATGTAAAACTGTGGTTTGAAAACTGAAAGAGGTAAAGGAATGTCAACTGATGAAGCTTCTTTTACTAGAAATGTTCCTGATTCTGAAGAGCAGAGGTCAGAACATCTGGAGTTCCATGACGGTCATGTTTTAATGTAAAACCGTCTCTACTTTAGGCTTTTTAATCTTTTTTCCTAAAAAGTAAGATGTACATCTTTAATTTGAAGGGTCACGCTGAACTAAACAACTAGAAACGAGCTTTCTCAACTTTAAAGACTCCATTTCTTCTAATTATTTAAAAGCGTTTTTATTTGCTAGTTGCTGTTTACGTTTGGGAACAAAAGTAGGTTATAAAAGTCCAAAACAGAAAATAAAAGGTAAAAAAAAAAAAAGCCATGACCAGTGAACGTTGCAAAGCGTTCCCCCAAACATTTCCTTAATTTGCTTTACAGTTTCATAAACTCATAGCCCAACGTATAAAAACTTGTCCATTCATAAAGTGATATTTATGATAAATATTCTGCATAATTTGACACCTGATGTTCAGGACGTTGGTTTTAGACCGGTTGTTCTTATTCGGGGGACTATAAGTTTTATTTTAAATACAAATTTATATTTTTAACTCCTACTAAAAAAACAAAACATATGTTTGAGGTTCTGCTAATCCTAAAAAAAACTTGGGGGATATTAAAAATGGTGCCAAGCAAGAGGAGAAATTTGTGGGTCATTGAGGGCCATTGCCCCCCTGGTCCCCCCCTCATCTCTGTCGCCCCTGCTTTCAACTCAGAATAAGCAAACTTATAACTCTAATTTAAAAAATACAAGTATTGTTAATATAAACTGCCTTGATGACAATTAACCAGCTTTTATTATTTTAATCTTCACAGTTTTATTTTGTGTAACATCTCTTTTATGAGCTTTAGAAAAAGCTCCAAACTCGTTAAACGTGCATTTAATAAATTTAAATTCAAACCCAGATCCCAAAGCCCTCACAGGTGAAAAGAAACATGTTGATTTATTTCAACAGTTTCACTCAAAAACAACAAACTTGTAGATTTTTGTGTTTTTGTTGCGTTTTATCGAACAGAAGAGTGATTTTATGTGATTAATGGTGGGGTTGATGGCATGATTCATACACACGCACGCGCACACGCAGCATATGGTCCATGTTGGGCTGCATCACCTGACAGGATCTCTGAATGATGAATACATGAACATAAGCAGATGCTTTTATTTTGAAGGGTTCCATAAATCCCCTCCCATCATCTAAGCTTTTATTGTGATAAAAAAGGCCTTATTATTATTATTTTCTGACGTAATCTCCACAGATTATTTTACAGAAACGCTTTATATTTAATGTGTTAGTAGTAATGTCCGAGCCGTCTCAGCATCGGTCCATTTGAGGCTCGGCAGGTGCAGAATCCGCCATCAGAACCTTTTTTAATTCCTAATCCTCGTCCCGGTACCGACACGATTATGGATCGTTTACCTTCATTTTAAAGGAGGAGATGGCCCGGTTCTGCCGGTTGCTGTGGTTCACATTGCACCCTCCTGTCCCGTACGTCCTCGCCCGGCCCGGCTCGGCTCGGTTTGTCC